CAGAGATGGTAGTCAAAACAGACTCTACATGAATATGGGGTACACACCTGTAATCTCAGCTACTCTAGAGGCTGAGGCAGGATTGAAAATTAGGCCCTAGGCTCACTTTAGTGAGTTAGTGACAATTCTGTCTCAAAATAAATAAATGGGGCTGGGAATGTAGCTAGGTCAGTTCCCATCAACGGTGCCGTGCCTGCCTGGCAAGTGCAAGGTCCTGAGTTCAGTCCCCAGTACTGGGGGAACAATGGGGGAGGGAGCTTTTTATCTCTGAAGTATGAATGTTTTTATAGAACAAATTGGATTTATGGATTGGATATATAATTAATTAAAATTTGCTTTGAAAATTGTAAGACAGTCATGTTAAAAGTATAAAAACTAGCAAGTCATTAACCGCTAGAAAACACTCAGTGGAGCACACTGATAATATTACCCCATTTATATTTATTGTACAGCAAAACACAGTAACCTTAAAGGCTTTTTGGGGAGTACCAGGGATCGAACTCGGGTCCTTGTGCTTGTGAGGTGTAGGTGGTGGAACCACTGAGCTAAATCCCTGACCCAATGTCTTTTTCTTTCCATGAATCGTAATGCTGGTTTAAAGGTTTAGCGTTGGCGTCTGAACGTAGGATTGTTTTAAGTTCCACATGCGTTTGATGCTTTTCCACGTGTAATGCTCAGCTGCAATCCCCGCCCCAACACAGAAGCGATGCCCACAGTCCGACCTCTGCAGTCCAGAGGAGAAGCAGAGCCACTCAGGCCCTGTAACAGCTCCGAGGCTGACACTCGCTTTCCTGACAAATGTCTTATCAGATCAACAGTGCTTTCTGTCCAAAAAACAAAACCAAGGCCTCCTCTGCAAAGGATGGTGTCAGTGGCGACGTGTGGATTCTAAAGCCCTGGGCCGTGACCAGCGGAGGAGTCATGGTGCCTCTGAAGGGATAAGGGGAGATAAAGTGTATCAAAGCGGGCCTTGACACATGGGGTGCTACTCGGGCACGTCCCCCGGAGCATCTCCGCTCGACTGACAGGGGATTAGGCCGCGGGAGGCCGGTGAACAATGCCGCAGGCTTGAGGCCCAACACCTGGCTGCCACGCTGGGGCCTCCACGCCACCAGCCACCACCGGGCGGGCCGGAGCTCCTCCCTGGATAAACGTGTTTGAAAATAGCTGGGATTTTGTTTGTTTGTTTGTGTTCCGTTCTTGGAGGCCAGGGAAGGGAGGAGGCGGGAAATCTGACAGGCGCCTGCTGTGAATTCTGACAGAGAAAGGTCTCAGCTGACAGCCAGATGCCCAGTGATGGGTGACCCTGTGTGGATCCGGGTCCCAAGGGATCCAGGGTGCAGCAGAGCTCTGGAGAGGCCAGGCTGGAAGCTGGGCTGGGGGTTAGGGCACCCCAAGGAGTCGGTGGTCATTTTGTGGGAAGCGATAGTGGCCTTGTGTACGACATTTCCCACCACAAATACTCATTTTCTTTTTCAATAGTGGGTTACTAAAGTGTGTGGGATAAAACGTCCTGTAGTCTATGAAACACTGTAACATGCTTCAGGGGTTAAAAAAGAGGTGAAATTACTGGAAGTAAGAGTGGCAAAATTCTAATGGTTACTCAATCTGGGTAACGCACAAAGGGTGCTTGTGGTACTTAGCACTTGCTCAACTCTGGGCTATGTTTGAACGTTTTTACCAAGAGATAATATTGAGCATCATATGCAAGGACCTGGGTTCAACCTCCAGAAAGTGAAAGAATAAATCACGATAATATATGGTAATAATAGGCCGGGGATTTGGCTCAGTGGTGCTGCCAGCTGCCTTGCAATCGCAAGGACCCGGGTTCAATCACTGGAACCAAAAAATAAAAAAAGATAATAACAATAATAAACTTTTTATTCCCAGTCCTAGGGTTTAAACTAACCCTTTACACTGAGATACATTCCTAATGCTTAATGTTTTTATTTTGAGGCAGCGCTCCTTAAGTCTCTAACTTTCCCAGGCTAGGCTCAAACTTGCAGTCTTTCTGAGTACTTGGATAATAGACATGCACTACCATGCCCAGCTAATAATAAACTTTTAAAAAACTTCCAAAAAGTATCAGTGGTGGCATGAAAATTGGGGGCCCCATCCTGAAAGCTGACTTTATATGCATACTTTTTTTTTTTTTTTTTTTTTTTT